ATTCTTGGACCTCAAGAAATTAGATTGGCTGTCAGTACTTCAGGATTGATCAATATTCAGATCTATACCATAGTTTGTGAACTCTATAACTTTCCTACAAACTAAAAAATACATCCTAATTTGGGTTATTTTCACCAAAGACATGTAGTAGAATACATCTTGCCCTAAATTTATGAAGAACAATTATTTATTTGCAAACTTTTATAACAGAAACAAAAAAAAATGTTTTTTTTTTTTTAAATTTTCGGTCTTTTTTTGTTAATTTAGCAAAAAATAAAAACCCTGGCAGTGATTAAATACCACCAAAAGAAAGCTCTAGTTGTGTGAAGAAAATTATAACATTTTAGTTTGGGTACTGTGTTGTAGGACCGTGCAATTGTCATTCAAAGTGTGAGAGCGCTGAAACCTGAAAAATGGCCTGGGCAAGAAGGGGTAAAAGTGCCCGGTATGGAAATGGTTAAAGTATATCAGCAGATCAAAGGAATAGATTTCATCTCTCATAAAAGCTAAAATATTAGTTGCAGAGAGATGAAAATACTTCCTTCTGATTGGACACTCTGTAGGCTACATCTGCATGTAAAACTGTATTTGTGGCCTATGTAGAATGCCAGAAAAATGCAGGAAATTCTTATGTGGCGCCGGATTTCGACAGCTGAACAGTGATAGGTACTGTCGCGATCGGACTGATGCGATGGTGTCAAAAATTTAATCCCTGACTCGGTGATTCAAACCGTTCCTGGTCCAATCGACTTTGGGCATTTCAGGACCCAGAACATCCTGTGGGCTGGTACAGGAACACCCCCCAGAGCCAATTGGCCAAGGACTAATGTCCAGTCTACGTCCATATTCCCATAAATCGAGGACCTGGGATATAGACGTTGTGATTCGTATGAAGCCAGCCCTATTGACTGACGGATTACGGACTTTCCCTGACTTGCTCCAGTCGCAGGATAACTCTTGGTAAAAGTTTTATTTCTGTTTTATTCCCTTTCATTTTATAGTCAATAGCCAATTGTGTGTCTTCTTGTATTTTTTGTATTTTCTGTAACTTTTTATACTTTGTACATATTTTATGCACTGCCCACTTTTGGGATATTAAGTCTTAAAATTGATAAGTGACTTCTGGGTACTTAAGCTCGGGCTGATATCTCTGGAGAGATTAGATTGTATTGTATTTTAGTGTCTTTATTTGCTCGGTCAAGTTCATTGCCAATCTGTATGCAATTGCACTGCGTGTTGGCAGATTGTAAAGGTAACAGGTCTGCCAGATGGAGATCTGTGTGTGTGTGGTGTCCCAGCAGGTCAGTAAAACTGTTGGGTGGTGGCAAGCTACTGTTTGTGGTGTGTCTGGTGTGGGGGTGTGTGGACAGTGGAAGAGTGATTAACACTGGGGTTCTGGCTTGTAGGATAGCTGGAGGAATCCTAGAAGGGTGTGTCAAACGCTAGGCTGCTCCTCATCCCTAATTAGTGCACCAGTGTATATAAGATCCTATCTGCCTGTGTGTGTGGTCAGCTAGCTGGATTGGAGTGGAGTCTCCCTCTAGTGGTGGCCAGAGGTAGTGCGGGCTGTGAAAGTATATCACGGCCGGTCTTATATACGTATATATATTCAGATTAGGTCCCTCTTATTCCCTCTTACCCTAAGTCACGGCTGCACGTGTGCGCTTCAGTTAGCTAGTTGCTGTGGGCATGTGCATGTGGGTTGGATCCGTGACAGAGATAAACTATCAATTCATGAAAAATAGGTGCTTTTAATATTAAATATCCATTAAATTAAAAAAGTACTGATTTTACACAATAGCTTGGATTATATATATAAAATCATCTATGTATTATATTAAGTTTATACTGTAGGTTAACTTTAGCAGATGGTGTAAATCAGTTTAAATGTCTTCAATATTTTTTCTTACATTTGCATCACATCTGTGTTTCAGTGTCATTCAGACTTACCAGTTAGTCTATGCAGAGTGTCAAGACAATGTTTCACTGCTATTATATCCAGAAATGAGACTGTGCCATCTTCAAATCTGCAAAAACAGCATACATATAATTCACAATTTAAAATAACATGGTAATGAGGTGGATAAACATAAATATTGGTGTCAGTGGGAAAAATAGTGTCCTTGGAAAACAGTTTGGAGACCACTGCTGTACACCATAAGGTGTGGTGCTGTAACTTTCTTTTGACTATTCAAGGTACTAAAATCTAATAATATAGTACTATGGTCATTCTCTAAGTTCTTTCGCGGTTAAGTCCAGCCTCCCATTTTTCACCTCAGGTAGCCAGACCATACCTTTTTTCATTTGCCACTATTTTTTACTTCCAGCTCTGAAAGTCACCAAAAGACATGAAAGCACAAGCACTGTGCTTCTAAAAGATGGTGTTCTAAAAGATGATGGATTCTAAAACGATGGTGTTACTAATTTTTCCATCCCATAATTGTTGTGAAAATGTTAATCAAATCTATATTTTCAACAAAAAAACCCCACAAATCATTATTAGTGCACAAAAACACAAATATAACTTCCAAATTCTAATTAAATCTAAAAGATTTACTGTATTAATGTTAATAACAAATAAATATTTGTAAACTTTAAATTGTGCCTTTTTTCAAAAAGGTAAAAATCGTAGGAATGCAAAACTGTAAATAAGCAACCTAAAATATATGTATAGATAAAATGTTTTTCTTTTATTTACACTTTAATCTGTTGCCACCGGCCACATGCATTCTGTTTAAGTGTATTCACAGTGGTAGGCTGTATACATGGCTCACCCCCAACACTGTGATCAAGCTGTAACCTGCAGTTCCCATCATTATTTACTTCGCTAGATGGTAGAACGGGCTCTAAATCATGTGACCACTGACAGTCAAACACACTGCTCACATGATAAGTAAGGTCAGGTAATGCTGAACCCTTAAAATTCATTAAAGTGTATTTTTTTCCCAAAACATTGCGTCTGAAAAACTGCTGTGCAAATACTGTGTGACATAAAAAATCTCAAACCCCACCATTTTATTCTCTAGAGCCTATGCTCAAAAAAATATATTGTTTGGGTTTTTCTTGCAAAAATACAGATTTTTACTTGTAAACAAAAAAGTGTCAGAAGAAGGCCTGGTCTTAATGTGGATAATGCCTGAAGGTGCTCCTTGGATGTTGAGCCTCTCTATGTGGCTAGAGCTTGAAAAAGTCTCACACATTTAGTATCACCAGTAGCAAAATGTTGTTTGAGGTGTAGTTGCAAGTATGCCTATGCTGTGTGTGAAAAATAACTTAGTATGAAATTTTTGTGAAAAAAAAACACACATTCTATTTAATGTCTTCATTTTCTTCATTTTGCAAAGAATTGTGGGTAAAAATTACAACTTCAAAAGAATTCACCATGCCTCTTACTAAATACCTTGGACTGTCTACTTTCCAAAAATGGGTCATTTGTGGGGTTATTTGCACTGTCCTGACATGTTAGGGCCTCAAGGCATTCAGTACATCAGGTATGATCATATTTCAGTGATAGGTACCATAGCTTGTAGACTCTCACACAGACCAAACAATACATAGTGATTTGAGTTATTTTTACCAAAGAAATGCAGCAGTATAAATTTTGGTCTAAATTTATGAAGAAAAATAAATTTGCAAAACACCTTTTTCCCCAAACATGTTTAATGCTTTTTTGTTTATAGTGCAAGAAATAAAAAAAAAACCCAATGGTAATAAAACACCACCAAAAAAAGCCCTATTTGTTTTAAAAAAAATGATTAAAACTTCATATGGGTACAGTGTTGCATGACTGAGTAATTGTCATTCAAAGTATGAAAATGCTGAAAGCTGAAAATTGGCCTGAGCAGAAAGGGGTTGAAAGTGTCCAGTAATGAGGGGCTTAAACACTTTGACTAGTCCTCTGTCAACAGAACAAAAAAACAGCAATCTTTTAATTTAAACAATCTGCATTATAGTGCATTTATTTCACTGAAAAAAAACTCTGTGATCTCTCTCAAATCTACTATCAGACTGTGCAAAACACAGTAGGGCACCTAAAAAATGAATGATACAAAGTTCCATCTCAACTGGTGCTGTTGCTCACAGCAACCAAGCTGTTTTCATATCTTTCATTTTTTCCACACAGCTTAGAAAAGCTGATTGGTTGTCGTACAGTTGCATCTATCTCTCCATGGAAACACTCTGGAATCTTCCCTAATCTGCTTTAGTTACACACAGTTAGTGTGTACAGTATGTGACTTAATACAAAAACAGATTTCAACAATCTGTACCAGCATTATCAACTAGTTTTCCTTGCAGGCTGTTATCTTTCTTGATCTACCATATATCTACTTCAACACACATCAAATAAAGTCTGAAACCCTGGCTTTTAAAAGGTAGGGTGCTGGCATGTATAAAAAAACATTATTGGCCTTTCTAAGCCACCTGACCACAGTTGAGAGGCCAGGAAATACATTGTTTTGCCAAAATTATTGGGATGCCAGCCTTTACACACACATGAATTTTATGGCACCCCAGTCTTAGTCTGTAGGGTTCAATATTGAGTTGGCCCACCCTTTGCAACTATAACAGCTTCAATTCTTCTGGGAAGGCTGTCCACAAGGTTTAGGAGTGTGTCTATGGGAATGTTTGACCATTCTTCCAGAAGCGCATTTGTGAGATCAGGCACTGATGTGGGACGAGAAGGCCTGGCTTTCAGTCTCAGCTCTAATTCATTCCAAAGGTGTTCTATGGGGTTGAGGTCAGGGCTCTGTGCAGGCCAGTCAAGTTCCCCCACCCCAAACTCACTCATCCATGCCTTTATGAACCTTGCTTTGTGCCTTTGGTGCCCAGCCATGTTGGAAAAAGGAAGGGGCCATCCCCAAACTGTTCCTACAAAGTTGGAAGCATGAAGTTGTCCAAAATGTCTTGGTATGCTGCCTTAAGGGTTTCCTTCACTGGAACTAAGGAGCCAAGCCCAACCCCTAAAAAAACAACCCTACACCATAATCCCCCCCTACACCAAACTTTACACTTGGCACAATGCAGTCAGGCAAGTACTGTTCTCCTGGCAACCGCCAAACCCAGGCACGTCCATCATATTTCCAGCCAGAGAAGTGCGATTCGTCAATCCGGAGAACATGTCTCCACTGCTCTAGAGAGTCCAGTGGCAGCGTGGTTTACACCACTGAATCCAACGCTTTGCATTGCACTTGGTGATGTAAGGCTTGGATACAGCTGCTTGGCCATGGAAACCCATTCCATGAAGCTCTTTACACACTATTGTTGTGCTAATCTGAAGGCCACATAAAGTTTGGAGGTCTTTAGCTATTGGCTCTGCATACAGCTGGTGACTTCTGCACTATCATTTTACCTGATCTACTACTTCATAGCTGAGTTGTTGTTGTTCCCAGTTGCTTCCACTTTGTTATAATACCATTTACAGTTGACTGTGGAATATTTAGTAGCAAGGGAATTTCATGGATGAACTATTTGCACAGCTGGCAACCTATCACGGTACCACGCTTGAATTCACTGAGCTCCTGAGAGCGAACCATTCTTTCACAAATGTTTGCATAAGCAGTCTACATGCCTAGGTGCTTGATTTTATACACCTGTGGCCATGGAGGTGATTGGAACACCTGAATCCAATTATTTGGAGGGCTGTCCCAATACATTTGGCAATATAGTGTATGTGAACCATTGGAGAAAAGAGGCTACAAAAAGATATCTATTGATAGACTCAATAATGTTTTCAGAAAATATGTACATACTGTATATTTGAATATACAGCTGCCTGCACAGTGGTAGATTTTGCCTGCACAGTGGTAGATTAAAGTGATCTCTAATCTCTACCAATGTTTGGTTTTAAATGACCCCCTGCAGGTTTATGCCCAAATGTGTCTGTATACACTGCATACTAGTACATTATGGAAGTTTTAGCTGTCAAAACGCAGCCCTCCAGTGATGCACTGTTGCTTCCATCTAAACCCAGTCTTCTTTCTGGGTTCATGCTCTCCAGCCATTTGAATGGCCAAGCCATGATGATATCCCTCCCACACATGTGCACAGGAGTCATGATCTTGGCATAGAGTTACTGCGCATGTACCTGTGACACTGCAGGCTCTAACTGATGTGAATATCTTCTAAATGGCACCAGTTTAGCAGATATTCATGGTACCTACAGTACAGGTAAGCCTGAAGCTTACCAGTAGGTATAAGCGTATTATAAAAATTGACTACTGCTTTAAGCAGGAAAAGAAACCTGTACTTGCAGGAATATTTAGGATGTCATTGCTGACCTCTCGATATGAAAATACTTTTGTTTCCTGGCTGCCATGCTAATGTAATAGCTTGAATATTTTCTAAATTGATGACACAGGCCAAGCATACAAATCTGGAATACTGACTTCATTCTGACTTTCCTTATCTGAATATTTGTAACAGGTCAGTGACTCAGCTTGGAAAATAGAAACAGCCAAGAATAAAGGATTTTCAGAAGGAGGTTAGAAACGGAAGCCTCCACAGTACAGGCTTTTTTTTTACATAAAATGTATAGTGATTATATACTGTACATATTTTCTTAAATTTTTTATTGTCAAGACTAAAAAAAAATTTTCTTTTTTTTTTTTTAAAGTCAGTACATGAAATATCACATATTTTTGCATTCTTTCACTGTGAAAATGCTCTTTTAAAGAGTTCAAACTTAAATCTACATTTACAAGTGAATGAATCACAGTAGTGTATCTCACTTCATAAAGCTCTGACTTTTCCATGTCTAAACATGTCTAAAAGCTGAGAAGTGCAGATGTGCTCTCTTAAAAAATTGAGTGCTCTAAGAACTGTTTATCATGTCATACATTTTGAATTGTTTTGTCACACACACACACAGTTTTGGCTATATCTACAGTAGAACAAAAAGGATACAAAAATTGTAAACGCAAAAAAGTTAAATTTACCCACAACCATAATAGTTTCACTTTAAGAGCAACATGTCTATCCTCATCATCAGGAGGTGATAGGACACCAAATGACACGTCTATACAGAGACTGGAAGCATGCTGTGAGCACCTGCTCTCTATCTGACAAGAGCAATGGCACACATTTAGAGTTCACCTGCTCAAGCTGTGGTGTTTGAAGACCTTGTTGCTCCACTTAACTAAATTATATCTGGTCTTTTAGAGCAAAGAATCGGGGACGCAAACCTATATTGCCTCTTCTAGAGGGAAGTATAAGCCAGATTTTGGGAAATTGGTGAAGAGGTAAGCAGAAATATTGCTTTGCTGCTGGTTTAAAGTGGTAATAAACTGCAAAAAAAAAAATTATCTCCCTGCAAGCTAAGAGCCTAATGTACTTGTACGTATTGCATACTAGCACATTATTAAAGACTTACCTGAAAACCAAACCCTCCAGTGGAGCACTGTCTTGGCTTCCATCTTGGTTCACGGGTTGTGGCTGCTTGACTGGCTGAGCCGTGATGACGTCACTCCCGCACATGTGCCTGGTTGCTTCAGCTGTGGCACGGCACTCTCAATGGACGGCATGCTGTCCATTAAGAGTGCAGTGCAAAAATAAAAACCACACAAAACAAAAAATGGCCACTGCCCCAGTCTATAATTGGCCTTCACAGCAAGGAGCACATGGAAGGGCGACGCATGTCAAAAAACAAAAAAGGAAAATTCCCAGCTCTAACTTGCCAGCCAGCCTGCAAACAAACCAAATTAACCTGTCTAACAGTAAGCATTAAAAACAGGGGTTTAGTTAGCAAACATTTGCAAATACATGCGTAAGCTGCAGAGCCTCGTCACGGCATCCCCATATTCTGTAGTTCCTAACTCTCCAATTTTAAGAGCCCCCATAGTAGAGGCACATTCGTTTAATGGATAGACCAAGGGCAGATGGACCTGAGGGAGTACACCCCTCCTTAAAAGGTACAGGAGGGCACTGGACACCCAGCATGTAACACAATGGCAGCCAAGGTGTCCAGTGCGCCCTGCCAGTGACATCACTGGCACTTCTAAAATAAATATCTCCTAAACGGTGAACGTTTAGGAGATATTTACTGTACCTACAGGTAAGCCTTATTATGTACTATGTATGGCCATGTTAGTGAGTACTGCTGACCTGTGAACCCTGCACTGTGTATGGCCATGCTAGTGCATACTTCTGACCAGCAAACTCTGCACTGCATACTGCTGACCTCTGAACTCTGCTCTGTGTACTGCTGACCTGTAACTCTGTACTGTGTATGGTTTTGATAGTTTATCTCCCTTACAGCCCCCTTCACATTTGAGCACCGCTACTGCACTGTGTTTTTTTGCACATTTCCCAGTGGTTTTTGGAGTTGCAGCATTCATTTGAATGGGCCTCCCTGCACTCCAAAAATGCACTAAAAGAAGTTCAAGTACCAAATTTTGGACATGAGCAGTGTGTGTTTAGCTTTTTTGCATGTTTTTTACATGTGAAAAAATGCACAGATGCTATCCGCATTTCAGGCGCCATTAAGAAACAATAGCACTGCAAGCGTGTTGGGCATTTGAAAAACTTCTCTTTTCTGGTTGTGTTTCTGCACTGCCCAAATGTGAATGGTGCCTAAAAGTGGAGCTCTGTGCCAGGTGATTTTTGATTTCTCTCATGTTGTTCAGGTGGATCTCCACCACTCTGTGGTTGCCTACCCCTTGTTTAATGGAACCAGAACATTTAACAATATTTTCACTAGCAATTCTCAATGTTACTATTAAAAGACATGTCATATTCCCCAATGGTATATACAGTATAGGAATGTTTATCCTGCAAGTTAGCTGCAATCATCTACTGGACAATCTATTTCAACCTATCTGATGTCTATAGTGACTTTGAGAATTTGGGACAACTCTAATATTGGCTCTTTAACAGCAAAATTGAAAGTCATTATTTCTATAAAATCTATTTTATTCTGCTTTCAATAAAATGTATAACGGAAGGAAAATGGAGCTCTCACAAAATAGCTACTGGGAATCAATTTACAACTGTATTATCGGAGTATAGATTTGCTTGATTATGTTGAATATCCCAAAGCAGACATTATAATGGTACCCTTTGGGTTAACAGATAAAAAGTTCAGTATTGCTCTATACATCCATATATACTGGTTATTCATATTTTTACCAGCAGGAGAAAATAACTCCTCCTTTAATCAAGCCTACTATTTTAGATACTTTACACTTAAAAAACCATTTATCTTTGGACATGGATCAAATTATCTGTATAAGCCTTTCATTTCAGCAGTATGCAAAATTCTTACAGTATGTTCATCTTACAGTTCTTAAAAAAGATTGACTTTATGTCAAACTGAATTTATCCAGAGCAGGATATATTTCAGCATGAATTAAAATTTTTACTGCGGCAGCTTGATTTCTTACTGGGTTACCTTAATCTTCAATCCCAATAAGTGTATAATAAATGCCACATTGCTCAGAGATTAGATTTTCAATTTTAAAACTCTTCAAATATATCCCTCTACTTTCATGTCAACACATCTTCTTTCAAATTTGTTTGATGTTCTTTTCTCCTTCTTCATTTGCAAAGGTAAAGGAGACATTTAATTTAAAGGCATGCTGATTTATGTTCTGATACTGATAGTAGTTTATGGCCAGTAACAGCCTAATTTCCAAATCTAACAAAATGAACCTCCCCATCAAAAGGAACTGGACAGGCCCAACACAGTTAATTAATCAACTCAAGAGTTTAAGAGCAGACACTTAAACATGTATACAAGTAAATACTTATAGTAATTATTTGTCTCTGCAGCATTACATTGTGAACAATTGTGAACAATTATCTGTGAGCATGCATGTTTATACATGCACAAACATGTGATCCAAGTATGTTCTGTATGGTTATGGTAAATAAAGATCTTTCACTAGTCAGATCTTTCCCTAGTCAGATAAAGATCTTTCACTGGGCTAAAACATCTGATATTCTGAGTTCTGATATCTTTAAACAGCTTTATACTCCTTACTAACATAACCAGGGATTACCTTCCATACTATAACAAATACATTGATCTAATAAGATCTGCAAAGGAAAGCTGTAGTGTTATTACAAAAACTCCAGAAGCTTGGTAAAAGGCAAGCACATTAACACTCACTATAGCATTTCTAAACCTATACTTGTGCAAAACAAGAAGGAACTAAACTACAGCATTGGATTACAGGATAATCGCTCACAGCATAATGTACTCTATGCAAAAACACAATTTAAAAAATCCTACAAGTTTTTAACTTTATATACTGTTATTAAAATCATATATAGGATGGTTTTTCGTTGAGTATTGATATTATAAACTATATATCTTTAATATCTGTGATGTTGATTTTATACCAAATAATTGCTTTCTTAAAAAAAATTAATGAGAAAGCATGTTCAGTCATGTGTGAATGCTTTTTGGTTATATTGTATTAAAGTATACCCCAAACTTTTGTATTCCTGATATCTGCACTGTGTACTTGTGTTTAACCTCCCTAGCGGTATGATTATGTCCATATTTCTGTGCTCAAAGCGGTACATTTTTTTTTGCATGGAAATATGTTTTTTTTTTTAATTGTAGGCCTGTAATTTTTAGGAA